GTTATGGTACCTATTTAACTATTAGTCATTGTATATTGTTACAAAGTTCCATCTGTTATGGTACCTATTTAACTATTAGTCATTGTATATTGTTACAAAGTTCCATCTGTTATGGTACCTATTTAACTGTTAGTTATTGTATATTGTTACAAAGTTCCATCTGTTATGGTACCTATTTAACTATTAGTCATTGTATATTGTTACAAAGTTCCATCTGTTATGGTGCCTATTTAACTGTTAGTTATTGTATATTGTTACAAAGTTCCATCTGTTATGGTACCTATTTAACTATTAGTCATTGTATATTGTTACAAAGTTCCATCTGTTATGGTACCTAGTTAACTGTTAGTCATTGTATATTGTTACAAAGTTCCATCTGTTATGGTACCTAGTTAACTGTTAGTCATTGTATATTGTTACAAAGTTCCATCTATTAGTCAGTGTATATCAGTACAAACCTCAATCTGTTATGGTACTTATATAACTGTTAGTTATTGTATATTGTCACAAAGTTCCATCTGTTATGGTACCTAGTTAACTGTTAGTCATTGTATATTGTTACAAAGTTCCATCTGTTATGGTACTTATATAACTGTTAGTCATTGTATAACATTACAAAGTTCCATCTGTTATGGTACCTATTTAACTGTTAGTTATTGTATAATCTCACAAAGTTCCATCTATTAGTCAGTGTATATCAGTACAAACCTCAGTCTGTTATGGTAATTATATAACTGTTAGTCATTGTATATTGTTACAAAGTTCCTATCTGTTATGGTACTTATTTAACTGTTGGTCATTGTATATTGTTACAAAGTTCCATCTATTAGTCAGTGTATATCAGTACAAACTTCAATCTGTTATGGTACTTATATAACTATTGGTCATTGCATATTGTTACAAAGTTCCATCTGTTATGGTACCTGTTTAAGTGTTAGTCATTGTATAACATTACAAAGTTCCATCTGTTATGGTACCTATTTAACTGTTAGTCATTGTATATTGTTACAAAGTTCCATGTATTAGTCAGTGTATATCAGTACAAACCTCAGTCTGTTATGGTACTTATATGACTATTGGTCATTGTATATTGTTACAAAGTTCCATCTATTATGGTACCTATTTAACTGTTAGTCATTGTATATTGTTACAAAGTTCCATCTATTAGTCAGTGTATATCAGTACAAACCTCAGTCTGTTATGGTACTTATATAACTATTGGTCATTGTATATTGTTACAAAGTTCCATCTGTTATGGTACCTATTTAACTGGTAGTCATTGTATATTGTTACAAAGTTCCTTCTATTAGTCAGTGTGTATATCAGTACAAACCTCAGTCTGTTATGGTACTTATATTACTGTTAGTCATTGTATATTGTTACAAAGTTCCATCTGTTACAGTACTTATATAACTGTTAGTCATTGTATATTGTTACAAAGTTCCATCTATTAGTCAGTGTGTATATCAGTACAAACCTCAGTCTGTTATGGTACTTATATAACTGTTGGTCATTGCATATTGTTACAAAGTTCCATCTGTTATTGTACCTATTTAACTGTTAGTCATTGTAAGTTTGTTACAAAGTTTCCTGTGTTATAATGCCTATGTAACTGTTAGTCGTTGTATAACATTACAAAGATCCATCTGTTACAGTATGTATGCAAATGTTGGTCAATGTATTTTAAGTGTAAAATTTCTTCTGTTACTAAGGGCAGAAGAGTACAAATTTTCTATTGTCTATAAATTGCTATTGTAAACTATGTATTGTCACAAAGGGATAAATGGAGAGAAACACAAGGTATATACCATCCTGTTTTCTCGAATGGTTGGGCACCCGATTATCCTTTCTCCAAAGATCGGGAAAGAGCTGGGTTGACTGCAGCAGCAGCAGCATCAGCAGCTCAACGATTTAGACGAGATAATCTCCGAAGAGCCCAAGAAGAGGTTTGTAGTTTATAAAGTTCACTTCTCTAATTAAGAAATGTAAAATACTTCAAAATTAGTTATCATGAAACCAATGCATTAACATAGGTTTTGGTTGAGTAACTCATCAGGGTTTACTGTTTTTTATAAAGTAGAACTGTCCTACATGATTGTTATAAAGTAAAACTGTCCTGCATGTTTTTTTTGTAGAGTAGAACTGTCTTATATGTTTCAAGTTAGTAACAGTTGTTATTACACATTATATTGTATACCAAGCGTGAGACACTGAGTTCTTTTTAGATCTTATATACGTCCAAAGCACGTTGTGGTTGATAAGTGGTATCCCGAAATGGTACTACCTTTTATACCCCTATATATTTTGCATCATTGCAGCAACATGTGCTGCTCATATGACTACTCTCCACCAACCATACTACACCCTGTACACTAGCTCAAGTAGCTCCCTCTAACATTGTAGCACAACCCTCACATTCTCGATTGGCATTCTAGTATATAGACGTGTGTCTTAACTCATTCTCCATGTGACTGCACAATTTTGATTGTGCTTGATCACCAATGAATATTAGTTTTAAGTTCAAGTTTCAACTTCTTGTGTTTGATTTCCATTGTTTCTACTTGTTTGTTTTTGAAATGTTGCTGTTTCCCAAATTCTACTTTGTTCATATGAATTTGAGTTAAATATGGTGGTTGACAATTTTCCCACCATAAAAAGACAATGGTTATAACACTAATCTTCAATCTCAGGATCGACAGTCTGCCGAGGAGGCACAGACTTTAGTTCACGGGGAGTTCGTGTATTACGTGAGGCTGGCAATTTGTTTCCTTTCTAGATAAGTATTGTTCTTTTTCCCAGGAGATCTGTGGTAAGTTTTTCAGGGTGTATTTCTTCCTCCCCATAGATGTACTAATGTTCAACGAGTTTATGTGAGCTTGGGTGGATGGATCTAATTTCTGCACTTGATAATTCACGTAATTCATGTCTTATAGGCCCGGGATGGCCAGGTGGTTAGGGCACTCGACTCGCAATCTGAGGGTCGCGGGTTCGAATCCCCATCCCACCAAACATGCTAGCCCTTTCAGCCATGGGGGCATTATAAAGTCACATTCAATCCCACTATTCATTGGTTACAGAATATGCCAAGAGTTGGTGGTGTGTAGTGATGGCTAGCTACCTTCCCTCTAGTCTTACACTGCTAAATTAGGGACGGCTAGTGCAGATAGCCCTCTTGTAGCTTTGCGCGAAATTAAAACAAAACAAACAAACAATCATGTCTTCTCCGCTAAATGTTGGGTAAGTTTGAATTTTATACTTATTTTACCATCTAGGATACTTTAGTTGAATACTTGTGTTTAGAGTTTGTTTATTGCATTCATTTTGTTTAAAATTTTACATTTTTTCACTGTTAATGTTATTTAGTTGAAGTTCTTTTTTACTTTACTACTAATCACATCTAATTGGGGTTGGTTTTATTCAAACTTTGGTTTTGTTAACTGGGTGCCTTTTTATTCTCATGTTTTTAAGGTAGGTTTTATTTTCGTGTCCTTTGTCTTATAGCCTCTTTGAGTCGACTTATAAGTTCTATATTTAAGGGTTATTTATCTTATCAGTCCCTTTAGTGGTTTTGTACTTTAGATGTTACTTATTATATCATGTTTAGGTCGATTTTCTAAGTTTTGTGGGTTTGTTATGCACTTTGTAGACTACGCATTTCAATGTTTTGTTAGTATGTTAGTTCTGAATACTTTCTTTAAATTCTTTAGTTTATGGGTCTTTTTGACTACACTTTGTGACAGTTCCGTTATTTCTATGGGTTCACTCTGAGGGTTTCTGACTTCCATTTTTCTCCCCCTCTACTCACGTCTCAGATCTCCTTCACTCCTCCTCGGGATTATACCTTGTCCAGTTGTTTTACCTAATCTGTTTGAGTCCTACTACACAAAGGAGCTATCATGCAGGTGGACCCACTCAACCAGGAGTTTACTCCTGTCTTTCTTTGTCTCCCTATACATGGGAGTTGAGAGTCCCTTTATTGACTTGTCCAGGCTATATACTTATCTGGAGATTCCTTGCTTTACCATGGAGTCCTTCCTCTTGCTTTGGTAGGTTTTTCTGCCCCAGTGTCATGTCCTTTTTCTTCGGTTCCTCTATGTGGGTTTTGCCTTTCTGTTCTGAGCACTCCCAGACTGTCTTTCTTTAGCTCTGTAAGTGTTTTGTGGAGAGGTATGCTCTTTTGCACGTCATCTTCACTCCCTGGGTCTTCAGACTCACATTTCATGGCTGACAGGCTTTTGCTTGCCAATTTTTGTGCCTTGTTCATCACTCACACCTGGTTCCTTCTTCGAGAAGCTTCTCAGGTGTGGTTTCTTTACTGGTTGGAGAAGTCCTTTACTACCCCCTCACAGTTGGTCGAGCCCAGCCTTCTCCACTTCGGCTCCAGGATATCAAGAGAGCAGTTACATTTGCCATTCATTCTCCTTCTCTCTATGTCCATGAGGTTCTCATTCTCTTTTAGGATCTGGCCTTCCTTGGAAGTGCTCATTCCCTTCATTTGATACTTCTTAACCAGTGAGACTTCCCTCACCGTCCTTTGGACCATTCCATTTTCCTAGATTCCCCAGAGTTTTGGGGGTTGGTGGTAGGTCAAGGAGGCTTATCTCCATATCCAGATCCTGGAACCTTTGGCAGTTCATTGGGCTGTGTATCCTTTCCTGCAGGGGAGGGTGGTTATGGTTCATTCTGACAATTCCAGTATCATCAACTTTACCACTAAGCAAGGGGGAACCATGTTCCAATTTCTGTCCGTTCAGACTCTGGATTTTGTGTACTAGGCCTATGACCTTGACATGACTCTTCTGGTGTGTCATCTTCCCCGAGTTATGAATCTTGTGGCCGATCTCTTATCACATCCCAACCAGGTTCTCCTGAGTATGGTCTCTTCATCCTCATGTTTTTCTATGGGTGCATTCACAACAGAGACTGCATATATGTCTGTGTTTTCCATTCACTGGTATGCCACACTTTCTTCCTTTTTGGTCTCCAGTTCCTCACTTCTCAGCTGTGAAGATAGATGCTTTCAGTCAAGATTGGAGGGGTCTTCACTTATATGCCTACTCTCCAATCTAACTCATCTTTTAGGTCTTTTTCCTTATCCAGACTACTCCTTGTTGTGTTCTGTTGGTTGCTCCAGATTGGCTGGCACCAACATACTTCTCTCTCTCTGCTCTGGCCCTTCGTCGAACAACAGACCTGGCCTTTTTCTCTGTCCTGTTCCCTCCTCCGTCAACCGAGATCTGATGTCTTTCATCCAGACATCACGATATTCCATCTTTCTGTGTAACTATTGTCCAGTCCCATGCCTCAGCTCAGAGACTCACCCCTCATGTCACTTCTTTCCTTGCCTGTCCCAGCTTTTCATCTGGTTGTTTGATCAGGTTTTATATATGCCATCCTGTACCATTTCTCATTTATTATTCGTTATCTGGATCAGGCATTCCTTCCCTGGACTTTGGCTGCCTGGATAGATTGTTTTGCCTTTACTCCTATTTTCTTACCTTCCTTTCTTACTTGTATTCCCATTCGTTTTTGGATCAGCTTCTATGTCCAGTTCATTCCCTGCTATGTTGTTTGGCTCATACCATCTCCTTTTGTCAAGCCTGTCTAATTGTTCCATGGCATTCATCTGCTTCCCCTGATCTTTCATCTATTACTCTCACAGATTGGGTTCATTAACCCTTACAACTGGCATATTTTGACATGTTCCTGGCAGGACGCTGTCTACATATTGTTTCTTCACACCAAATTCGTCATCTAACTCAGTCTTTAGCTGTTAGACACTGCCGTCTATTGGAGGAGATCATTCAGGCTGGTATGTGGACAACTTACTATACAATTGTCACTCTTTCACTACACAACATAGCTGTTTCTTCCTCGGGCAGGTATTGTCTTCCTCCTGTGGCGATTCTACACATGTCTGTTTGCCTTTGACTGGGGTAAGTCGTCATTTTATTTTTTAAATCTTATTTCATTGTTCATACATCATATTTCAAGATCCCACCTGGTGGCGGGTGTTGCTTGGTCAGGTATGCTAAATTTTATATCTTAGCACCATATCTGTATACTTTTATAATGCTCACTGTGGAGACGGGGTGTTTCTGTAAGACCACCGGCCAATTTGCAAATGGTGTATCTATATATAACATTTTTTTATCAATATATATGTATACTAAGGACTGTCACTCATGGACTTTATGCACATCCCTACTGATCCGTGATTCTTACAATCCAGATCTTTCTGCTTTTCAAAATATGAAATGCAGTCATCCGTTGCACTCTCTTTGGTGGGTTGATCCTTCAGACCTCCCAATGTATATTCCCCCCCCCCCTTTCTTCTAGTTGAGCATAGGGGTCCTTGCCACTTCCAGTTCCCAGTCGCTGGAGTGGTGAACCATGGAGGTTTCCTCACAAGTGGTATTTGTACAATAACACAATCTCATAGCCACATGTACTTACCCAATGAGAAGAAGGCTATCATCATTATGCTTCATATTCTATAGTATAAATTATGCTATTCACTATCTTATGCTAGGCACTTACACTGGATGTTTTCTGCCCAGATGGACTGCACTTGACATAATACAATGTACAATGTTTACCAAAGTGCTTGCCCTGGATGTTTTTTGCCCAGGTGGGCCTCATTTAGCTATCTTGATATAAACCAAGGAGCTTCCCATGGATGTTTTCTGCTCAGGCAGACCACACTTGGCCTATTCATATAAGGTCCTCTAGCCCTAGACACGTATTATATTTGATTCTGCCATATGTGTCTTCCTTTCTTCTTTAGAGGGTGAAGAGCATACCTGTTCCAGAAGTTGTGCTATATCCTACAGGTGGCTTCTATTTTACTTGCAGCACACCTGTTTTTTACTTTGCGGTTGTTCTCTGCTTGTTGTTATTTTTTTATCTTCACTGGCCCCTCCACTCTCCCATGTGGGATTCTAGCTTTGTATGAGAAGTGATACTACCATTTTGGAAGTTAACATTATCTAATACTGAAAATGTATTTCTGATTGGTACTTACCTCCTCTCACACCCTTCCACCCCACAGATTTACCAGTGTTTCTGATTTGGCTATTCCAATTCTCAAAAGTGAGGATTGTGCTACAATGGTAGAGGGAGCTACCTGCGCTAATATAGAGAATGCAATATGGTTGGTGGAGAGTAGTCACATGATCAGCACATGTTGCTGCAATGATGCAAAAATACTGGGGTATAAAATATTGGTGCACTATTGAAAATTTTAGCAATGCTTAGAGGGCAAATGAAGGTTGAGATAGTTTTGTATGAAAGGAGGAAGGTATCAATTTGAAATATATTTTCTGTATTAGAAAATGTTTACTTTGAATAGTTAATAGCAAACTAAATATACAGCTGGAGAGGAATATTATTCAGAACTGCATTTTCTTGATACATTAGAGTATAATAAAAATGATAACACTTATTTTGATAGTTTTATTGCTTTTAAAATTGATATAAATATTTTAGTTACAGAGCCAATAGATTAGTAAGAAGCTATCTGTTATTTATACAAATAAATAATAATTTTAATTTTGTTTCACTTTTATTGAAAGCAAAACTCCTAAAACAAAATACCCTGTGTACACAATCAAACAGTTTCCAGTTACCATACTAAACATTATGGTAATCGAGTTAGCCAACTCTGAAAGATGGATGTAAACACACACACACATAATGGATCATGTTTATAGAGAGATGCTCACACCATTTTATCCAAACTTTTTGAAAATCACTAGTTTTTTATCCTGTATACTCACATCATTTTATCAGAACCTTGCTGGAAGTGACTGGATTGAATTAGGATACCTTAATTCTGTTATATTAGTATTATTCAGTTTCTTTGTTTGTCAAATGAATAATTTAAGAAATTCAGTTGAAAATGAAAGCAGTGATTAGCTCGCTTTACTTATCATCTAGGCTGATTTACGGAATGAGGAATACCAGAAATTTTCTAATTCTCAGCCTCAGAGGGACAGCCTTAATGAGAATGACTACTATGATAGAGACCACATATCAGAACAACATCCAATAAGTTATAATGATGCTCCTCAAGGAGATATACCAAGGAGAGTCCCATACATGGAAAGGTGGGGATGACGTACTGTTTTGTTACTTCTTTAAGGAAAAGTTACGTGTAATAAGGCAATTTTTATTGAACATTCTTTATCATAATTTGTTAACCTATGTATAATACTATGCTTAATTATAATTGATAGGAATAGCATAGTTTACAACAATAAATATAGACTTATGAGATTTTATTCAAGTTAGACCTCTGCTACTGTTTTCATAAAGTCATTGTACCTCTAAATATTACACAGTTAATAACAAAACATTTATTAAACAATCCATTGTTTATTGTTAAAATTATAACAACTCACTGTTCCAGTGTTTATTGTTAAAATCATAACAACCTAATGTTCCACTGTTTATTGTTAAAATCATAACAACCCACTGTTCTAATGTTTGTTGTTAAAATCATAACAACCTAATGTTCCATTGCTTATTGTTAAAATTATAACAACTCACTGTTCTAGTGTTTATTGTTAAAATCATAACAACCTAATGTTCCACTGTTTATTGTTAAAATCATAACAACCCACTGTTCTAGTGTTTGTTGTTAAAATCATAACAACCCACTGTTCCAGTGTTTATTGTTAAGATCATAACAACCCACTGTTCCAGTGTGTATTCTGAAAATCATAACAACCCACTGTTCTAGTGTTTGTTGTTAAAATCATAACAACCCACTGTTCTAGTGTTTATTGTTAAAATCATAACAACCCACTGTTCTAATGTTTGTTGTTAAAACCATAACAACCCACTGTTCCAGTGTGTATTCTGAAAATCATAACAACCCACTGTTCCAGGTTTATTGTTAAAACCATAACAACCCACTGTTCCAGTGTGTATTCTGAAAATCATAACAACCCACTGTTCTAGTGTTTATTGTTAAAATCATAACAACCCACTGTTCTAGTGTTTGATGTTAAAATCATAACAACCCACTGTTCTAGTGTTTATTGTTAAAACCATAACAACCCACTGTTCCAGTGTGTATTCTGAAAATCATAACAACCCACTGTTCTAGTATTTATTGTTAAAATCATAATAACCCAGTGTTGTAGTGTTTGTTGTTAAAATCATAACAACCCACTGTTCTAGTGTTTATTGTTAAAATCATAACAACCCACTGTTCTAATGTTTGTTGTTAAAATCATAATAACTCACTGTTCTAGTGTTTGTTGTTAAAATCATAACAACCCACTGTTCTAGTGTTTGTTGTTAAAATCGTAATAACCCGTTGTTCCAGTGTTTGTTGATAAAATCATTAGCTCTGCTTCTGATGATTGAGTTGTGTAGGATCAATCTATAAAACATTTAGTGACTCTTTTCAAATAAAAACTCAACTCCGTTTCAATTAATAAATTTAATTTTTGGTGATCACATTCTGTTATAAAAAGAATCTGGATTTTTAAATTAATTAAATTACTGTAATTTTTTTCTGGCAAAGTAAATATTGAGGATATTTCACTGGAATAGATCTGGTGCCAATACTCCTTCCGAGCAAGACTTCCAAGATACAAGATCTGACATAAGTGGTGGTTCCATTGAACTTGGAATTCTCAAGCAATTTCAACAACAACAGCAACCTTGGTTTGAAGATATACGAGCACATGGTAACAGATGTATTGTAGCAATGCACACAAGAAATGCAAACAATGACAAAGAATTAAGCATTGTGAAAGGAGAATTACTGGAGGTAGGTTTTTAGTATTGATAGAAAAGGATAACTGATGTGAGCAAACATTTCTGGTGGTGTGTATATCTACATTAACTTAGGTTTAAAAAAATAAATGCCTTATTTTTCTGAAATTATGTGACATTGTAAACTTTTAATAGCTCCTAAATATTTGTATTTATACCCATTTTAAAAATAATTTCATTTACCTGAGAGTTTATGTAATTGTGTTTTATACATAATATAAATACCAATACTTTAGATAAATAATGTCTCATATTAGATCAGATAATTAAGGAAAGCATTAAGTTTAAACTGTGCATGATGTCATTCTGACTTTCCACCTTAGGCTCACAGAGTTTGTTGTAGCTTGTCACTTTGTAGGGATTGAACCCCCTTACTTTGGTTTTTGAGTATGACACTTTTGTTTTGTACCAGATGTGTTGTTTTTTTTTGTTTTTTTAGGGAGGTATTCCCTGTTGCTTAACTTCACTTGGACTTCCTTTTCTCCCATACCCCCTTGTCCCCGTTCCTCCTCTTGATGGTTGGTTCTGGCTCTCCAAATGTTTGCAGTTCCCCATTGGTCTTTGGGGTGCTGTATTGGGGGCAACTGGCAGTCTTGGTAACTTCAGGCCCGGTGGGTCCAGGTCATTTCCCCTCAGTGGGACAACGTTACATACATAGACTTCCAACACTAGAGTTAAGGGGTTCAATTCCACACAATAGAAGTGACAACTGGCACAGTGTGGTTTTGCTCTACACATATTCTTACTCCTTGACAGGGTAAAACAACTTTTCCAACTACTTTGCCCAAATTTTGAGGAAATTCTCACAGATCTCTTGGTTCTGAGGTGATCGTACTTGGCCTCGTAATTTTTCAAATATCCCTTCTTCTCGGGTTTTCTGCCTGAGTTTTTAGGGGGTGGTTTGTAATTTACTTTGCTTGGATGCCCTCACACAGGGAGATCCTTATATTTGGGGTTCTCCATCTAATTGTTGTCCCCTTGAAGTTCATGGACTGGAGCTCTGTCATCACTTAGTCAGTTCTGAACCATTTATTAGTCTTTCTACATTTTGCTATGAGGTCATAATTGTCCCTTTGTTTGGTTTTCCCTCTTGGTTTTTGGATGATGAAGGTGTTGATTCAAATGCATTTCTCCTCATGAAAGTCTCCCCTGCATTCAGACTTTTTTCTTTGGGTCCATAGCCTGGACTCCATTGAACCTCTCCTCAGCTCCTTCCAATTTGGATGGTCAGAGTTTTGCCTATCTTGTTCCTTTCCATGGGCCATCATTTCCACCATGGCATAGATGTCTGGTTTCCTCACATGTCGAGCCTGCCTTTCTTTCTCTTTCTTCTTGGAGTAGAGGCTCAGGTTGGTTGGTTTGTGAAAGTAGAAAGTTTTTTCTTCACCCCCCGCACAATACCTCATTCTTCTTGGAGTGTTGTTTTATTTCCTGCTCAATGGGCCCAGTCTTCTCCTTTTTTTGGTTTAGGGCTAGGGCAGTTCTGGTTTTCAGCTTCTACTCCTCTACTTCTCCAATTTTGCAAGAGTTTCTCTCTCATTTGGGGACATGGTCTTCTCGGATAGCCCTCATCCCTATTGGTCATATCCTCTTGTGTTGTCTTCCATGGGTTTGTTGGTCCAGTGGAGCCTCGTTTGGTATTCCATGGATGTTTTTTTTTTCATCCTTCCTTCCTGACTGACTAAGCCTGGTTGGCTGGATTGGGTCAACACCTTTTGGGTGTTCTTCTTCTTCTGGGTCCATAATGTCTCATTTCCAGGTACTAGCCTTTCTGATTAGAGTTATTTTCTGGGAGCTCGGAGGTGGTCTATTTTGGAGTGTTTTCAAATTTTCTTCCCTGTGGGCTCCATGCCACTTGTTTGGCTCAGGTTCACTTCCTTCCAGCCCTATGGGTACAGTCGTTTGTAGTGTTTTCTGACTGCTCTCATCTCGTGCTTTTTCAGGCAAGTGGGCACTTGGTTTAGTAATTTCTGGTGTAGGCCACAGGTCTTTCTGTGTTGAGCCACTGCCTTCAACTTCTTGTGCTGGCTTATGATATTCTAGGTGCCCTGTATCTCCTTGTGGATCGTTTATTGTTGCCTGGTTGTGGCTCTCCTGTGTGATGGGGTGTTCACTAATTCCTTCCATGGTGATTACTTCTATTGTTTTTTCCTTGGTATCCTTCCAAGACCCAGGATCCATTATCCAATTCCAATTATGGTAGAAATTGCCAGTAAATTTGCCAGGATTATTTTCATTTTCTCCAGATTGATTTTGTATTTTCCACACATTTGCCTTTATATTTGTCACTTTTTCCTGTCCCTTGCTGCTCATTTCCATCATTCGTTGGAGAACTTCTTTGGTGCCAGTATGTTGACCACTCCCTTCTACCTTTAGTACTTATTATCTTCACTAACTGACTGCTTCTTGTTCAGAAGGATTTCATCTTCCTCCAGTCACATTGTGTACTCCTCTATGTTTCTATGTGAGGGTAAGTTCTCCATTCGTTTTCTTTGGATCCCACTCTTTGCCAAGTGGTACCTGACCAGATATACTTAGTCCTAAATCTGCACTGTAAGACCTGTGATCATATACCATGCTGGATGGCTGTAATGTTGAGGCTCTTCCTTCTGCAGACCTGATGTACAATTTTAGATGCCACCAGGTGTTGGTTGATTGATTCCTTCAATGTGATCTCTGTGCTTTCAAAATATAATGTCATAACACATCATCAGGTCATGTTACAGCCACTGTTGAGATGGAATGTTCCGCAGGACTGCTCTTAGAAATTCCTTGTAGTCTTTTGCTTCATAAATAAGTTCGTCCTGAACCATACACTCATAGACTAACATGGGTAAAGCAGACAGGGATTGCTGACCATTTCTGAGGATCCACGGCATTTGATGCTCTTCCTACTGTGTACCTGTTGTACAATTCCAGATGCTGGATTTTGCATTCTGTCTACGTGATTGCTACGCTTTTCAAAAATAAGGTATCGTGGTCACTCACTGCACTGTCTCTGGTTCCGTGATCCTCTGGACTCTCCAATGCATTATTTCCCTCCTTCTTCTAATGGAGTAAGGAGTCCTAGCCATTTATTAGTATCCTAGTCACTGGAGTGGTAGACCATGGAGGCCTGCCCTCCTGAGCGTGCACAATACCAATCAGTTGAGAGTAGGGTGGTGGCATTCTGCCAGTGTAGATGGTGTGATGCCCTTTCTACCACAGACCTAATGTATAATTCCAAATGGATGTAGCACTCCACCCTATATTGCAATTGGCCCCTCTGACTGAAGCACCCTCCTTCCTACTGTCTGCTGGACGTTGATTCCTGGGAATCAGGGGTTGGTTGGAGCCAGACCAGCCCCATGAGTCCTCCCATGTGTTTGGATGGTTATCCTCCTCCTACTGCAGACTGGACAATAAATTACCAATGCCATCCGGTTTTTGGACTGGAGATGCACCCCATATAGCTGTCCCTCTTCCTACCATCTGCTGTATATCAGTTCCTAGTGGACCTGGTGTTGGTTGTAGCTGGAAAATACATTCATTCCCACAGGTGTATGATTGGTTTCCTTCCTCCTCCTTCTGTGGACTGTATAATAAAATTTCCACCAGGTTTTGGACTGGGGATGAATGCCCACCTGGGCCCTCTGGCATCCTACAGTCAACCTGGTGGATCTGATGTTGGTTGTGTTGGAGGTGCATGCCTGCAGAGGCATTTTTTTGGTATGGAAGCTCTTCTTCTCTGCCAGTACTCATTCTTGAGGTGAAAGGTAGTGGACCCTCTTCCTTCCTACTGCAGAAATGATGTACAATTCCAGATGCGGCCAGGAGTTCATTGAGGTCAAACTCCCCTTTATGGTTTTCCACATCCTAGCCACTCTACACCTTGGGGAAGTAATTATTTCTGTAACTTTTCTTGGGGTCCCTCCTTTGTTTCTGCCCTTTTAGCAACATATTATTAATGGCCAAAGAGTATACTTGGCTCGGAAGTGGTGCAGTCTCCTACAGGTATGTTTTTTTTTAGTCTTTTTCACACCCCATGGTTTTCCTTTGAGTGCTTCCTAAAGGGGAATCATCTTCTCACCGGCCCTCCACCTGTTCAGTGTGAGATTCTAGCTTTTTCTGAGAAGAGGTAAGAAATTGTATCAGAAGTTAACATTTTCCTAAAATGAAAATGTATTTCTGATAGATATTCACAATTCCCACCTATCCTCCCCATTTCTGATGTGGTTTGGTGTGATCTAACCAATCTCAAAGTGGTTAACAGCTGCAAGATTAAAGAGGGCACTAGTTATGATAGGAGTAGTGTTGCACTCCTATTGGTGGAGGGTTACTGCATAATCATTTGTATGTGAGTATGTAAATACCTCGTGTTAACATATGTGAGGGTAAGTGGGAGTATCAATGCTAGTGGTAAGCAAAAATTTGCACCAATAGAGGGCAGTATAAGTCAAGAAAGGGAAGATAAGTATTTATAGGAAATACTTTTTTCACATTAAGGAAACGTTAACATTAAGTTTCAGCTCTGCCAAGGATGCATCATAAATGTAAGCATTTTACATTGGATTAAGTCTTAAAGTTTTTATCTCTTTTTTAAAGTAAACACATCTCAACATCAAGACAAATACTATGAACACTAATCATAAATAATGTTGTGTGAAATAAAGAATCACTCTAATTTATTCCACATGATAGCAGTATGAGGTGTGTGTTCAATCAATGGTATTGATAGACTGTCCACATCCAGTACATTACTTGTAATTTTCTACCCATTACTTAGCATGCTTTAACCCTTATTGACTATTCTAAATTATCATATGACACAAACATTGTTGGTATATAGTTTCTAACTTTGACTAATGACTGCAGGTGGTTTTTAAAATACTATATTAAGTTTTTGTCAACACATAACTGCTAGTCTTTAAGGTACCTTAGCAGCCCATTTGTCAACACATAACTGCTAGTCTGTAAAGTAGCTTAGCTGCACCTTTGTCAACACATAACTGCTAGTCTTTAAAGTACCTTAACAGCCCATTTGTCAACACATAACCACTAGTCATTAAAATACCTTAGCAGCCAATTTGTCAACACATAACTGCTAGTCTTTAAAGTACCTTAGCTGCACCTTTGTCAACACATAACTGCTAATCTATAAAGTACCTTAGCAGCCCATTTGTCAACACATAACTGCTAGTCTATAAAGTACCTTAGCAGCCCATTTGTCAACACATAACTGCTAGTCTTTAAAGTACCTTAGCAGCCCATTTGTCAACACATAACTGCTAATCTATAAAGTACCTTAGCTGCTCATTTGTCAACACATAACTGCTAATCTATAAAGTACCTTAGCAGCCCATTTGTCAACACATAACTGCTAGTCTTTAAAGTACCTTAGCAGCCCATTTGTCAACACATAACTGCTAATCTATAAAGTACCTTAGCAGCCCATTTGTCAACACATAACTGCTAGTCTTTAAAGTATCTTAGTAGCCCATTTGTCAACACATAACTGCTAATCTATAAAGTACCTTAGCAGCCC